ATACCGGTATTACCGGTGTTGTCAGAGGTCGATTAACCGGTGGGAAAATTTCCTCACCGTCACAACCCTACTCAGTATAATACTATTACATTAATAAATTGTTGATATTAAAATAAACTATTTAAAAAAGAATTTCAAAATATTATGAAATAATAAATAACTGAAAAATAATTTGATATTTGAAAATGTTAAAATTTTATTTATTCCTGTGATGCAAAGCTGAATTTTCAGCATCATTACTCCAGTCTTCAGTGTCACATGATCCTTCAGAAATCATTCTAATTTGCTGCTCAAGAAACAATTCTTACTATTATCAATATTTAAAATAGTTGCACTGATTAATATTTTTGCGAAAAACCAAAAAAAAAAAAAAAAGTTTTTCAAGATTCTTTGAACAGAAAGTTCAAAAGAACAGCACTTATTTGAAATAAAAATATTTTGTAATATGACAAATGTCTTTACTGTCACATTTGACCAATTTAATGCATCTTTATATATGTGTGTGTGTGTGTGTGTCTACTGCTCACCATGCATTTTTGAAGTGTGGCGGTGTGTACGTACCCCCTCTCTTCGAGGAATGCGAGGACCTGGAAGAGGTGGACCACTGCTTGGTCAGCTCTCCTCGTGCCTGCAGTGTGTCCCCCATGGTCCTCGTCGTGCCCTCGGCTTCGATGGAGCTGATGGCCTCCTTGGCTTCGTTCTCTTTCTCGGGGCTGGTGACGGCGCCGGTGTTCTCGCCGCCCTCCTCGTTGCAGCTGTACTGTGCCATCTTCTGTGCCAGAGCCAGCTGTGTCTCCAGCTCCAGCTGCCGGATATCCTCCATGGTCAGACCGTACCACTCGTCCTGCCAACACCAGGCCTGCCGATGAGCGCGTACCATCACCTTCCTCAGCCCTGATGGGAAGGTATCATGAGATTAATGCTCACAATAACACAAAGTGTAATTGTTTCGACAGTCACTACATGCAAACTAGTTTAGGGGGGGAAACAAATGTTTGCAGTAGATTTTTACATCTTCTAAAGATAATGTGTGTAGTGTTTGTTTTCAGCACTCCTATGCTACCGTTTTTGCAAGGTTGTTCATAATTTTTAATGCATTTATATGTGGTTGCTAACTTGTTCTGGATGGTTGCTAGGTTTACGAGTTGAGAAAAATATTAGAAAAAAAGAGCCTCTGACAACAGATGGTGATAAAATGTAACATGTTACAAAGTAGCATTTATAGGAGTAACATGTTACTTTTAAAAGACACTTTTCTCAATACTGCTATCAACCAAAGAAACTGTTTGTGTGCTACAAAGCAAGGGTTGATGTGTGGTTTGGCTTATTTCCTTGTGCGATTTCCTCGACTGATTAAGACGTGTCAAAGACGCAGTTAACCAGTCTTTCAGATAATTGAACTTGGTAATGAAGAGACGTGCGAACAAAATTGTTTTCACAGCAGCCAGGAAAAAGCGAGAGGAAAATTGATCAAAATAAAAGGAAATCAGCCAAAGATGGGAAAGAGTTTCGTAAATGGGGAACGGCAACAGTCCGCTCGCAAATTATCAGAGAAAGGAGCCAATAAACAAGCCGATATCGAAGTAATGAAAAAGATTAAGCGGTGCTCGAACAGCACATGGAAAGGAAATTAATTTTGCCCTGTTGTAGTCAGGAGGAGGCGGTTCTCTGAGCGTTGATTTTCACTGGAGCCGCACTGCATCAATCTCGTTTTCATTAAGTGCAGGTTAATGATTAAGGGCTTTTTTCCTGACAGAATGCTTGACACCTGCTGCCCACCCACGCACAATGATAACAGGACGTTACCAAGCATCATTTCACGCAAATATGCAGCAGATGGATCAGCTGACTCATATAGAATTATTGGAGAGACAAATGTCCTCTCAGAGCTAATAACACTGGTGGACATATGGTAGAGGACACCACTGATAATAGCACTGGTGCTAAGTTAATAATAAATTCACTGGATTACCGAAAATATGCATTGTTATTTAATTTTTAAATGTTTCGTCTGAACATTTCCAAACACTTACCCACATCGTGAATGAAGCGCTCAATCTTGGACTGCATGCCCCAGTATCGAAACTCCACTTTACACAACTTGTAAGCGCACATGACGGGCATTTTGCCTGGGTTGTTGTTGATTTCCACGATCCAGTCGTCAGACAGGGGGCCCCGCTGGGTTTTATATGACTTGTAGAGTTTGGGGTCTTCCTCAGCCAGGTACTCATGAGGGGCGATGAATTCATTCACAATATCGATGGGATCTGTGAAAGACCATTGTTCCATTGGCAATCACAATTTTTTTGGGAGAACAAGGCACGAATGGTGAACAGGTTCATATTTAGTCTTTTATTGCAAACCAAATCAGTTCATCACAAAGACTTTATAAGACCTTCTGAAAGGTAATAACATGGACATTGAGGCTGTAAAACCTGGTTTATCTGTTAGTCTTATGCGTCATAAAGCTTTTCTTTTATTCAAGCAGCTTTGGCATAAGGAATAGAGTTGTTCCATTAAAAAAAAAAAAGATCACTACTTTTATGTCCATTAATGGAACTTTGTTTAGGAAAACTGACATGAAAATAGCATTGTTTGTATGTAGTGTGTATAGATTTCTTTTTACTCTTCTTTGTTTGCTAACTTGTCTTTTGCGAAAGGCAAAAGTCTCATCAACAATTCTAGGGCTGCAACTAACGATTATTTTGATAATCGATTCGTTGGCCGATTATTATTATCATTTTTTTTCCGATTAATCGATTAATCGGATCTTCTTCTTTCTTTCTTTTTGGACAAAAAACACTTCCACATTCTGCCCAATGTCCTTTAAACAAATGTGTCAACTGAATGCTATGAAAATAGTGCTTAACAATTTATTAGACACACATCATAATAAAGATAAAACACAAATATTTTAGGAAATAATAATCGATTTTATCGATTAGTTGTTGCAGCCCTAAACTATTCAAAGGAACAGTTCATCCAAAAATAAAAATCTGCTGAAAACTCACTCTCAGGTTATGCAAGATGTAGATGAGTTTGTTTCTTCATGGAAACACATTTGGAGAAATTTAGCATTACGTCACTTGTTCATCAATGGATCCTCTGCAGTGAATGGGTGCTGTCAGAATGAGAGTCCAAACAGCTGATAAAAACATCACAATAATCCACAAGTAATCCACACCACTCCAGTCCATTAATTAACATCTTGTGAACTGAAAAGCTAAATGTTTGTAACCATAAAACCATCACAAAAGTTTTTTTTAACTTTAAACCATCTCTTCTGGCCAAAATACCAGTCCATATTCCATAATAATGCTTCCTCCAGTGAAAAAGGCTGTTGTTCTCTCACGTCAAAATCCTGTTTAAATCTGTTTTCGCTTGTAAACGGTGCTTGATCTGTGCAAATCAATCTACTGATTCAGACGAGACCAGAGAAAGCAATAGTATAGACAGAAGTTAAAAACCCCTTGAAGGTTTTATAAATTTCAATTCACTTCACAAGATGATTATTTTTGGATTAATGTGATGTTTTTATCAGCTGTTTGGCTCTCATTCTGACGGCACCCATTCACTGCAGTGGATCCATTGGTGAACAAGTGATGACTGTTGAAGAAACGAACTCATTCACAGCTTGAATGACCTGAGGGTGAGTACATTTTCAGCAATTTTTCATTATTGGACGAACTATTAATTCAGAGCTGTAATCTTTACTGTGTTGAGAACCGAACTTTGTAAGTCTTCAATTATTCACAGTTGCAAGGTACAGATTGGTTTCTGATCTTGGGTTGTTTCCTGTTTGCAGACTGCCATGTCATCAGACGGCCTCTAGGTGTCTCCACAGCACACTCATGAAGGTACATGTTGTCAGTAAGGAATGGAGTTATGTAACAGCATTCACAGGGCGCTTCCTCCTGCAGTGCCTGCGTCTGTTTGCGTTCGGCTCAGAAAGCCTCCAGTACCTGGTCCCAGAGTGCAACGGGGCGCTCGTGCCATGGCACGCTACCCAACAGCAGCATGGTACTATGTCAATGAAGCCTCACGCTGTCTGCATCTTAAAACACTGAGGCATGATTCGAGAGCTCTTCCTGCTGGAATGCTTGAGACTGGTCTCACAAGCTAACAGGGCTCACGTGTTAAAAAGCATGCTGAGGACAGGACCTCTTGGAAATGCAACTGCTCAAGACGCCCAGTTGTGCTTTTGCAGTTCAAAAACTGTCAAAAGCAGCAAATATATGCATTAAGCAGAGTAAAAATCAAGAAGGTGCAACTGTACCTATATCCCGTTGCCTCTTTTCGGCCGAGGACATGTTGAAGACGTCATTCTGGCAACCCGTGTCCGGCTTGTAGTACGTCTCGATATCGATGGAAAACTTTTCGACGAAAGGACACGTGTAGCTGCAGGACAGGCGAGGAGAGATTAACTCTGATGTAATTTCATCATATCAGTGTCATGCCTTAACGCAACTGCTCTGCAGTGAGGTTCATGTGAGTTTATCCCTTCTTCATACCTACCATGACCTCTTTATTAAGTAACAGATATATGTTTATTGCAGTAGGAGTTGAGCTGAACTCAACGTGCTTTGATGCAACATTCCCTATAAAACCAAAAAGATGCTTTGAGAAAGTAAACATGGGTCTATTTTGATTCCATGTTGACTTCAAGATCAAAACAGGAAGGCCTGACTTGAATGTTAAAAGCTGATGTGGGTATTTACTGGAGTACTACTGAAAGCGAGCCAGAGGGTTTTATTATTAGGAGATAGCACACTCACCGTGTGCGGGTGTATGGGTAGGCGTTCCAGGATTCCTCTTCCACACGAAGAGCAGCTTTTGGCAAGATGGAGCGGAACCAGCTAGGGATGTGTTGGCCGATGTGGTAAACCTTATGGGTGTATTGACCAGAGCCGCCTGGGCCATCCCTGTAGGGTCGGTTCTCCAGGATCTCCACCCCACTGCCCTCGCCTTCACTCTCTTCACGACTCTTTTTCTGCAGGGAGGGAAAGGTCTGGGATAAGGGTTCACAGACTTCCAAATGGACCGTTATTATTATTATTATGAAGTCAAGTCACTTTTTTGTATAAATCTCTTTATACAATACAGATACTTTCAAATCAGCTTCACATTAATACAAAGGAAAATAACAGTGTTAATGTTGTAGAATTCACCAATTATGAAACCAATTAGATTTCAGCTATAAAAGCAGCTCTGCAAAAGATAATACTTCAGTGACAGTGTCAATGTTGCAAAATTCATCAACTATAAAATGAGTTCAATTCAGCTATAAGCAGCTCTAAAGAAGATAAGTGTTGATGCTGCAAAGTTAGTGTCGCTATCCAGCTCGATTCAGTTCATGTCATTCAAATGTGTTGTTTCAATTCAGATCAATAACTGCGTCAAGTTAATCAATTATGAAACTAATTAAATTCAGCTATAATCAGCTCTACAGGAGGCAAGTGTGTCAATATTCAACATATGTCAGTTCAATGATGATTCGATTCAGTTGAATGAGTGTAGATGTTGAAAAGTTAGTGTCATTACCAAATTTGTTGTTTCAATTCAGTTCAATAATTGTAAACATTGCAAAGTTCATCAATTACGAAACGAGTTTATCTCAGCCATAAGTAGCTGTACAGAAGACAATAGTGTTGTTATTTAGCTCAATTGTTTCCAATTTTAATTCAATTCAGTTGAATGAGTGTCGATGTCACAAAGTCATTTAAATGTGTCATTTCAATACAATAACAGTCAATGTTGTAAAATCTATCAATTCTGAAACAAATTCAATTCAGCTATAAACAGCTCTACAAAAGACAAAAGTGTCATTATACAACTCAGGTCAGTTCAATGTTCATTCGATTCAGTTGAATAAGTGTCGATGTTGAAAAGTTAGTGTAATCAGTTCAATTACTCAAATTTGTTGTTTCAATTCAGTTCAATAACTTTGTGTCAATGCTGCAAAGTTGATCAATTCTGAAACAAGTTCAAATGAGCTATAAATGGCTCTACAAAAGACAATAGTCACCATTCACCTCAATTCCATTTAAATTTGTTGTTTCAACTCAATTCAATTACAGTTGTCAATGCTGCAAAATCTATCAAATATCAAACAAATTCAGCTACAAGCAGTTCTACAAAAGGCAACAGTGTCATTCTATTCAGTTCAATAACTGTCAATGTTGCAAAGTTCATCAATTCTGAACAAATTCAATTCAACTATAAACAGCACTACAGAAGAGAACAGTATCATTATTCCATTCATGTGCGTTCAATGTTGATTCAATTCAGCTGAATAACTTATATTGCAAAGTTACATTCTAAAAGTTATAATACATTACATTACATTCATTATCCAGCTCAATCCAGTTCAAGATATGTTCTCATCCAAAAGTGTCAGTGCAGTTTAATCGATAATATTACGCTGGAATCTTAAAACCTCCTTAGGAAACTCAATGTTAATGGAAGGTGACAGTCTATCCCAAAACAGAATTGACTCCAACCCAACAGAAGTCAACTACATGCGCCGCGCTATTGGTGCTGGCCAATCAAGGAACGCCACACCTTCAGCTTTGTCAGTAAGATAAGCCAAGACTCAGTGTGATTGCCAGCAGACAGATCTGTAAAAATAGGGTACAGTCTTGGCACAGCTTCTGAGCTGTGAATTCTGGGAGAAGGCCCACTGTGCCAGTCAGGGTGACACATGCCATCATATCTGCCTCACTGAAGGTGGTCATATGAAGATAGTTGGAAGCATCCGGTGGCTAATTGCATACCAACTTATGAATCCATCAGGGACAAGTTTGGCCCACTTAGTTCCACTATGGCATTGCCACTATAGAGAAGAAGTTTGTCCTGGGCCCTGAATGTGAAGATAAAATTCAGAACACATTGCAAAACATCAGTTTTCATTTTGTACAGCATTTTTTACATTTCTATTTGAACTAATTGACATTGATATAGGTGTAATTATGTAATTGTTATACGTCCTCTATGTTTAAATAAAAGACGGATGACAGGCCAGTGAAGCTGGCACACTTGCAGGCCAGATGGCCACACAGATCCCATCAGCCGTAACTCTGCATTAGCAAGATGATAGTGGGGTGATTAAAAGCCGACAATGCTTGCTTAAGACCTTCATTAAGGTGAGGTTTGTTACAGAGATGCAGAAGAAAGTTATATCGTATTAATTTCGTCCGAGTGCTCTCATGAGATGACCGCATGGGCACTGGATGCCAACAAAGACTAAAGATGGAAAATGTGGCAATGATATTACTGCAGAAGCTGTTAGTATTTCTTTATAACCTAACTGGCAGATCTTCACTGATGTAATATATATTTTTTCAATAATATTTTTTATAATAATGTATATGTACATTTTTATTTATATTAAAGTGATATATTTAACAAGTTTGTCTGGGAATTTGGTTGAAGTTGAACGATAGAACGAACGATAGATAGATAGACAACAATAGAACGATAGAAAGAACGATAGAACTATAAAATGATAGAACAAATGAACGAGTGAATGAACAAACGAACGATAGAAATACAACGATAGAACAATATATAGCTTACTTAATTTCCCAGAATGCATTACTTGTGTTACAAAGTGTCTGTTTATTACAATTTAGTGACAATTCCTCTTCCTCTCATTTCAATTCCTATTGAACTTCCTGTGTGTCATGGCAAATTCAAATCAAATTCACACTCATGAATTGAAAGGAAGCTAATTCTTCAATTCTGAATTTTGCACGTGTGAGAATGGCATGCTTTTTGTAAAATGCAGTGCCAAACGACCTCGCCCCTGAGACGCCCCAGAAACAATCACTCTTGGCCTCTCAGTTTCAGGGGTTTCTAATGCATCCTCAATCACCGAATACGTGGTGAGTAATACATTTCCATTTTAAAAGCACAGGCCCGTGCCAGCGAGGGAATAGCAGTCATGTCTCGCTCAATGTCAGACCGCTGCTTCTCTCTCTTTCTGCCAGGCTACTGTCAAACTCACAGACTGCACTGTCAGGACTGATGTCAGACCGACACGTTCCACAGAAAGGCGTGTGAAGCAGCAGCCCGTTGGAGGCGATCCGCAGGTCTGGAGCTCACATGTGCTGAGCAGGAAGAAATGGGCCGTTCTCTCGTTAGAGAGGTGAGCTGTCAGCAGCTGGAGGTGGCAGGCGGGACAGACAGACAAATGGCAGGCGGGAGAGGGAACGGGCGGCAGAAGCGCTGGGCTGCGGTATCTGTTTTTGCTCATCCTCCCAGCGTGGCGTCGCCAGCACTTCATTATGGCGCTGACAGATGACATCAGGCCCCGCACCCGCTACAATCAATCCCTCGCACACACATGCACACACCTCAGAGAAGTGTGGTCTCGATAACATATGGCTGTGCAGTAGAATCATATTGCAATGTTTTCCCTACAATATTGCATTGATACTTTAGAGCGGCACTTTTCGACAGGTTTTGCTTCAGGACCCATATTTTTACATTAAATATTAAATGGCAAGCCATTTAACACAAAAACTTTTAACAAAACTGTATAAAATAAAAAGGCCATACAACTGCACGATCTAGGGGGAAAATATAACTGCAATATTTTAAGCTGTTTTTTTATTTAATTGATTTTTTATACTTTTTTGCTAAATCAGCTGAAACATGCTAGCAACATGCTATTCATGCTAAAAACAAGATGGCAACATACTAATCAAGCTAACAACATGCTAATCATGCTAGAAATATGTTAGCAACATGCTAGAATTATGCTAATCTAGCTAAAACATACTAACAAAATGCTAACTACATGGTAGTCATGCTAAAAACATGCTAACATATTAATCATGTTAAAACATGTTAACCATGCTAAAAACATGCTAGCAACATAAATCATGTTAATGTGCTAAATCATGTTAACAACATGCTATCAACATTTGTCTAATCTATCTAAACTTTAAGCTTTTACAACTGCTTCAAACTTTCAGGCTAGGCTTTCTCAAGCCAACTTTAAAGGGGTCATATGATGCGATTTCAAGTTTTCCTTTCTCTTTGGAGTGTTACAAGCTGATTGTGCATAGATAAGATCCCTGAAGTTGCAAAGACTAAAGTCTCAAAACCATTTCATTCATGTGTTTCATAAACACATAGTCCTTTCTGGATTACAATCCACCATCAAAATGATACATTTAATTATTCCAGCTGCTGTGAGAAAAGGCTATAAACGATCGGCCACCTGCAGGATCCTCACATGCGATAGCCTAGTAGCCGGGACAACTTCTTTATGTTTACAGACATGACGTAAATGACGCGACGGCATGCTCAAATTTGTGAAAACCTACCTGTACCGATCAAATTAGAAAACATTATTATAAGATAACCGTTGTGAATCGGGCTAAAGGCGATAGTTTTGAACACTGGCTGGTTATGTACTTGCTCAAATATTGATTTCGGATCATTTGTAACAAAAAAAAAAAGTTACGGACTGCAGCTTTAAAATTATGATTACAATTTTTTTTAAATCCGAGTTTGCTGTGCTTGTTTGTAGGGCTACACAATTTGGCCAGGATTTCATGATTATATAGCAATATAATAATAATAAATTATTATTATTACAAAATAAAAATATAAAAACAACTAAAGAAAAAGAAAAAGAAATATTACTACTGTAATTTTACTGTAAAATAAAAAACAAGTATTTAAGAAAAATAATATAAAAGTAATTTTATTTTACATTTCAACTGTAAAATTACAATACTAATATTAAATCTGTCTTAAAGATATAGTTAATCCAAAAATGAACCAAGAACCAACATTCTGAAAAATATATTGTATGTTCAACAGAAGAAAGAAACTCATATAGGTTTGGGACGACATGAGGGCAAGTAAATCATGACAATTTTCATTTTTGGGCGAACTGTCCCTTTAATTTCTTCATTACGCTAAACCACCAAATTTTTTATTGTAACAGAAAACCGCAGAGAGTCCAAAGCTTCTCTT